AGGGTTGCTGGCAGGATTCAGCTCCTCACTGATCCCTGCCACGTGGGCCTCCCCAAGGGCAGCTGGCTTCATCTAGACGACAAAGCAAGATGAGCCACAGAGAGAAATCAGCAAGACGGAAGTTATTGTCTTTTATAATCTAATCTCAGGAGTAACGGTCCATTGCTTTTGCTGTTTTCTATTTCTCAGAATATGTCGCTACATGCAGCCCATGCTCAAGGGAAAGATTACTCAGTGGCCCGAGTACCAGCAGGCAGGGAGGCTTGGGGGCCATCTTGGAATGGCTGACAGCTGCACACTCCTGGCCTTTGTGTGGGCCGTTCCCTCCATCTGGAAGGCTCTTGCCCTAGATTTTGGCATGGCTTCCTCCCTCACCTCCTTCAAGCCTTCCTCAAAAGTTGTCTTCTTAGAGCTGCCTTCCCGATGATGTGCCACACATCGCTGGCACACCTCTGAAAAAGTAGTAATAATTGCTTGATACCATCAAAGGTCCAGATAGTGTTCGAATGTGAGAGCAGGGACTTCTGTCTCCTTGTCACTGCTGTGTCCCCAGTGCCGCATTCGGAGCCACCCTATTTAAATTGCCACACTGCCTGGGTAGGCTGAATCATCTTCCCCAAAGATATCTAGGTCCTGATCTCTGGAACCTCTGAAGGTGACCTTATATGGCAAAGGGATTTTGCAGGGGTGGTGAAGTTAAGGATCTCGAGATGGGAAGATTGTCTCAGAGTTTCTGGGTGAGACCTAAATGTAATTGTGAACGTTCTCATAAGAGGGAGATTGGACCGCAGGACAGAGACGGAGGCCACGTGACACTCAAGCAGGAGGCTGGCTCCCGGCTTTAAAGGTGGGGGAAGGGGCCAAGAGCCAAGGAATGCAAGGAATGCAAAGAATGTGGCTCTAGAAGCCAGAAAAGGCAAGAAATGATTCTCCCTGGGTCCTCCCCTGGGAGCACAGCCCTGCGGACACCTTGCTTTCGGCTCAGTGCCTCTGATTTCAGACTTCTGACCTTCAGAACTGTAAGGAAATAAACATGTGTTGTTTTGAGCCCCCGAGTTTGTGGTCCTGTGTCACAGCAGCCGCAGGAAACTCACACACCTCCCAACCTGGCACGAGGGCAGCCCCCTCCTGCTTTAGTCTTTTCTGTAACGGTGATCGCTGTGTGACCTATTGTGTATTTTGCTCATTATTTTGTTATTTGTCTGTCTCTTCCACTAGAATGTCAGCTCTGCAGCAGCAGTGACATTTTCCAATTGTGTATTGTGGACAATTTCCAACAAACACAAACGTCGAGAGGAGAGGATAATGAAAGCACACATCCTCGTGCTAAATTTCATCAATTTTCAACTCGGGGTTGATCTGGCTTTGTCTACGTGCCCCCCTTCCCCACCCCGCCAACCACTTCCCTCCCGCTAGTCAGTTACGTTGAAGCGTGTCCCAGACGTCCTATCATTTCATCCAGAAGTATTTCAGAGTGTATCTCTAAAAAGTAAAGACTCTTTGTGAAAACATAGCCACACATTGTTGGCACACCTCTGAAAAAATAGTAATAGTTGCTTAATATCATCAAAGGTCCAGATAGTGTTTGGATGTGAGAGCAGGGACTTCCGTCTCCTTGTTGCAGCTGTGTCCCCAGGGCCCCATTCTGAGCCCGGCACATAGTAGCTGCTCAACAAACAGGAGTGAATGCTGAATACTCAAGGCAACGCATAAAATACCTTCCAGGGTCCCTTTCTTTAAAGCAGGGAAACTGGGACCTGGAGGGCGGAGGACCTTTCCTAAGTTCCCCTAGTGGTAAATCTAGATCTTCCGCCGCCCATGCTGGGGTGGTGTCACCCAGAGACATGACAGGGTGTGGAGGCGGGGCTTAGCAGTTTGCTCAGGGTAGGGGCAGCCTCAGGCAGAGGGGCTGGTCGGGAAGTTGCAGCCAGGCAGCCTGGTGGGGCTCAGTGCACACTGAGGGCACTGGGGATGCAGAGGTGCTCCTCACAAGAATAAAGATCTGCATTTTAGAAAGATGTTAGAGAAGAAGACACATTGACCACACACGATTTTCTCTTTCCCTGCTACTAACACTGCAGTAAAGGAATAAACAGAGAAATAAACCTACTTGGAGAAAGAGAAAGAGGCAGCAGCGCCAGCAGAAGAGAGGGTTCAGCAAATTGCTGGAAGACAGAGGCAGGACAAGGGATGACCATGCCACCTGCAGGAGGAGAGGGGGAGGAGATACTCCCAGGTGCTGCAGAAGGGAGGCGAAGCGCTGCCAATGGGCTGTGTTGTTCAATACCCGGGCGCCCGCCTCGCCACCCCCTTGGCTTCCACGGGAGACTAGAGCATTGTTCACTAGTGGAAATGAGCGCTGGGAGGTCAGGCCTCTGGGATCTGGGTGAAGCGTGGCCTGCGTTATGGGCTGAATTGTGTCCCCAGAAAGACATGTTGAAGTCCTAACTCCCAGTGGCTAAGAATGTGACATGACTTGCAAATAGTGTCTTTGCAGAGTTTGCAGATGTCATCAAGTTAAGAAGAGGTTATACTGGAGTAGGCTGAGCCCTTAATCCGGGAAGACTGGTGTCGGCTCCCTCTCTCTCTTTTTTTTTTTTTTACAGACGAGATCTTGCTGTGTTGCTCAGGCTGGTCTCGAACACCTGGCCTCAAGCCATCCTCCTGCTTTTGCCTCTCAAAGTGCTGGGATTACAGGCTTGAGCCACCGTAACACCTGGCCAAGGTATTCCTTGGTTTTGGATCAATGTGACCCATTCAGATGTCTGACCTCCAGAACTGTAAGATAATACATTTGTATTGTTTAAGCCACCGAGTGTGCGACAATTTATCACGGCAGCAACGGGAAACTAATACAGACTTGGGTACCGGAAGTGGGGTACTGCTGTAACAAATACCTAAAAAGGGTGAAAGTGGATTTGGAATTGGGCAATGGGAAAGAAGCAGGAAGAATTTTGAAAAGATGATGGAAAAACTCAGATAGCCTTGAGCAGACTGTTAGTAGAAACGTGGATGTTAACAATCGCGCTAGTGAGGACTCAGAAGGAAGTAAGGAATGAGGTAGAGAAAACCTATGTCATCTTAAAGAACACCCAACTCATCATGAACAGACAGGTAGAAATGCAGGCAGCCTCTAGAAACTGGAAAAGGCGAGGATAAGGATTTTCCCCTAGAGCCTCTAGAACGAACACGGCCCTGACCTTGATTTTAGCCCAGTGAGACCCATTTCAGACCCCTCACCACCACTCCCAGAATTATAAGATAATAAATTTGTGTTATTTAAGCCACCAAGTTTGCAGTATTTTATTGTAGCAGTAGCAGGAAATGAATATATCTTTATTATGAAAATGGGAGATCAGACTGGTATAAACACGTACAAAATAAAAGAAACCTGGAAGAAGTAAATATAACACAGGAAACAGAAGAAAGACTCAAAATAAACACAAAAGCATCTGTAAGTGAAATGCTTTTTATGATACTTAGCAAGATAAGGGAAGATATCACATCTATAAAGTAAGAACTGGGGGTGATGAAAAATGGATAATGAAAGAACAAGGAAAAGTTCTTGGGAATTAAAAATACAAGATGAAGGCCGGGTGCGGTGGCTCACGCCTGTAATCCTAGCTCTCTGGGAGGCCGAGGCGGGCGGATTGTTTGAGCTCAGGAGTTCGAAACCAGCCTGAGCAAGAGCGAGACCCCGTCTCTACTAAAAATAGAAAGAAATTAATTGGACAGCTAAAAATATATAGAAAAAATTAGCTGGGCATGGTGGCGTATGCCTGTAGTCCCAGCTACTCAGGAGGCTGAGGCAGGAGGATTGCTTAAGCCCAGGAGTTTGAGGTTGCTGTGAGCTAGGATGACGCCACGGCACTCTAGCCGGGGCAACACAGTGAGACTCTGTCTCAAAAAAAAAAAAAAATATGAGATGAAATGTAAATTTAGTAGAAAGATTGGAAGATAAAGTCAAAGAAATTTTCTATAGAGTGGGGGGAAATTGGCAATGGAATGGAAAATGGTAGTGAAAACATTAAAAAATTGAAGGACCCAACCAGAAAGCCCAATATCCAAATAATATGAATTGCAGAAGAGAACGAGAAAACGAAGGGGGGGAAATTAACACAGAAATGTATAAGAAAACTTCCCAGAACCAAAGGACATGAGGCTTCAGATTGAAAGGACAGCCCAAGGATCAGTATGACGAATGAATAAAGAATACAGTAAGGCATATCATCATGAAATTTCAGAACCAGAGAAAAAGATAAGATCTCAAAAGCTTGCAAGACAAAAGCAAGTCAAACACAAGTTCAAAGGAAAGGGAGAAAAAATTCTGAGGAGAAAGTGACAAACTTGCATTCCAACTCAGGCGAATAGATTTGAATCACAAGGGATACTTACATGTTCGAACTAGAATTTTATACCCAGCCAAACTGTCATGACATGGAGAGTAGAATGAAGATATATTTAGTTGGGCAAGAACTCAGAAATATTTACCTCCTGTTCATCCTTTTAAGGGAACAACTAGAGGATGTCAACCACGAAAGACAAAGACATGGGATTCAGGAAATACTATCCAACTGGGGAAAGTCCCAGAATAGCTTAGAGGAGGTCCGGAGAGCAGCTAGCCCAGATGCAAGTGGAATAGAGCACTTCAGGAAGGAGAGAAAAAATCTTGAATGTACTATTAGGAGTATGGAAGCTCCAATGGAACATTTGAAAATATTAAGTATATATGCACATAAAATTAAGCAAATGACAAAGGCAATGAACCACACAAAAAAATTGCATAAGAGAGAAAATTCTAGTAAATTACATGGCTCTACAGTGAAGAATACCAAATCACAACATAATAAAAGCTGTTGATTGAAAAAAATATGATTTTGCTAAAAATAATAACAGTAATAATGAGCATTTATTGAGTTGGAATGGAATGAAAAGAGAAAAAGTCAATTTCTGTGCAAACTACCTTTATTTATAAAGAAAAATGTCCCCATTTTGTTATAAACATAAAACCAGCGCTGTGTGAAGGCACTTCATTGAGGAGAGGTGGGGCAGGGATGCTGGCAGAGACCAACGTGCCTTTTGTACCCCAAGGCCGCTGGGAGGAGTGGGGTCAGAGGTGACTCCCAGGGAAATCAAGTGGGGATCACCAGTGGGTTGTGTTGCTGGGGCGGGGGGAGTGGCAGTAGGAGGGGGAGGCACTTTGGACGGTATCTGATGTGGCAGAAAGGGAGGTCTCGTGCCCCACTGATTCCCAGCCCCACCAGGACCTCCAAGGGCTAAGGCAGGTTCCTAAACTTAAGGCTGGGGTTCTCCTTCTCCCCTGGGCTTTGGGGAGAGCAGAGGAGTGGTGGTAAAGGCCGCACCCCTGCAGGGCTGGGGGTGCAGGTAAAGGCAGCAGTAAATGGAGGGGGAGGTCCGGAGCCAAGGCAGGGCTGCCTGCTCCAGTCTCCCTCCCAAACGTCCTTCTGTCCCGCTAGACTTTATTCCTCTGTGGCTTCACCCTGGGGAAGAGCTGAGGGGAGATAGATCTTCAGACAGACACTGGGAGCTCCCACCCCCTCATCCCACACTCAAATACGTGGACTGTGTCCACCCTCCTCACCCCTTCCTAATGGACTCTCTCAGCATCTCCCAAACTACCCCAGAATCCCCGAGTCTTGTGTCACCTCCAAGAACCTTTCCAATCAGAAGCACCCATTGGTGAAATGGGATATCGAGTCTCCCATACTGCCTTCCAGCAGATGCCCACCTGTCTCCAACACCATGACTGTCCGCTTGGGTCCCACCTTCATCCACCCCCAAATTTAAAAAATCTTCTCTCCCGGGAATATAATGGAATCTTCATGGTCTCCTCCCCCAGCTCTGGTAGAATCTTCCTCGGCTCTACTATAATTTTATTAATGGATTTTTCCTCACCCAGCCCCATGCAAGTGTAATAAAATCGTCCTCTCTACCTTGCCTGTAACATACAATTCCTTAACCCCATCACTAAGATGAGACTCTTTCATTGCTCCCTTGCTAAAACGGATTGTTGTTATTATTATTTTGTAGAGACAGGGGTCTCACTATGTTGCCCAGGCTAGTCTTGAACTCCTGGCCTCAAGTGATCCTCCCACCGCAGCCTCCCAAAGTGCTGGGATTGCAGATGTGAGCCACCCGGCGGCCTAAAAGGGATTATTCTTTAATCTCCCCATCAATACTAATAAGGGATGATAAAAATATTTGAGCAGAAACCAAATAACCTGTAAGGCAGTACTGGAGAGCACCCCCAAAGTGCCAGCTCTGGAAAGGGCTCTTCCTCACCTACGCCCCTAACTATAAGGGACGCACCCTTCCCTCCTCTTCTGTAATGGACTTTTCCTTTCCTCCCCAGTGGGCTTTTCTGACTCCCCCCACCCAATATAATGGTCTGTCCCTCCCACCTTCCTCTTGTTCCTGTGGAATCACCCTCTTCCCCAGACGTAGGTCAGGAGGTCCCCACGGTATCTCCCCTGGGCTCACCCCGAAGTAGTTCCGCGGCACGTAGCCCTCCTGGCCGTGCAGCGCAGCCCACCACCAGTCGGTCTCCTCCGGCCCGTCCCTGCGCAGCACGGTGACCGAGTCGCCCTCGCGGAAAGACAGCTCGTCCCCGAACTCCGCGCTGTAGTCCCAGAGGGCGTACACCGCCCCGCTGTGCATCAGCCCCATACTCTGCTCCACGTCTGAAAAATGCCACAGCCAGGATCGTGAGAACCAAGCCCAGAGGGCCCAGGGACACAGGTGGCCACACTGGGGACAGGGACAGGGGGCCCGGATTTGGCGCCTGCCCCAGCAGGAGGATGAGCCACCTGAAAAGTGTACGCCCACGTCTGGGGGTGGGGGCCAGAGCTGGGGTCGGATGCCCGACGGGCAGTCTCTAACATTCGAGGACACGGGTGCATCGAGCTGGGTCACTTACTGCCGGGGCAGGGTCAAAGGTCCCCCATTCCCTACCTGTACAGTGTTGAATCCCTGTTACCCCTAGAGGTGCAGTCTCCCCCCACCCCGTGTAGGCCCCTGCGCCCCCTAAAGGCAGGCGTTACGGCCGGGTTCCTCTCACCCACGTTCTGCCAGAGGGGGCACAGCCGCTGTCGGGTAGCCCCACTAGGTTCACCTTTCAGATATGTGACCGGCGTCTCATCCCCAGGTCCTAGGACCTGCCTCACTCCAACACTGCGAGTTCCCTAACTCAAACCGAGACCCAACTCCTCGCTCCAGGCGCTAGGAGAGACCCTATGTCCAATCCCCATGGTACAGCCTGCCTTGCCCCTCCCTTCGGGGAACCAGGTGAGGTAGCCTGTCCCCTGGAGAGGCATCTATGGCCTCATGTCTTATTACAAGTGGAACAGTCCCCAAGCCCCTTCCCAGCAGCCATGGCCGGCTCGCCTGCCAGGTGTGTACTAAATGTCTCTCCTGCAAGTGGCAAAACCACCTGCCCAGCCCTGCGCCAGGTAGATGGCATAGTTGGAAAGTCCAGCTCCCCACCCAACGACCACTCTCCTCCCCGAAGGTGTCTAGGTCGCAGGGCACATCCTCCATGTCCCCTCTCTCCCTCAAGGGGACACAGTCCCCCACCCGAGCTGGTGGCCCATCCCACCGCCCCCTCCTCCGCAATCCTGCCACGTGGTTGGTACAGCCCCGCCCTGTTGGGGGGCAGTCCGCGCCCCTCCCCACCCCCGCCTGGGCACCCCCGAGGTGGGCGGTCCGATCCGCCCACCCAGACGCCCCAGCCCCGCCTCGCACCTGCCAGGTAGGTGGCGCAGTCGGCGTAACCCTCGCGGTAGGGGTCGCACTTCTCGATGGCGGTGGCGCCGTCACTGAGCGTGGTGGCGAAGATGGCGGCGCCGTGCTGCACCAGCGCCATGCAGATGGCCGTGTCGTTGCACGACGCTGCGCAGTGCAGCGGGGTCCTAGGCGTGGGAGGGATGCGTGAGAGGCCGCGCGTCCGCCCACGGGGGACCCAGCCCACAGCGCCGTCGGGGGTCCGGGCTCACCAGCCGTGGCTGTCGGGGGAGTTGACATTGGCGCCCGCGGCGATGAGGAAGTCCACGATGGGGTAGTTGGCGCCGCAGATGGCGTTGTGCAGGGCGGTGATGCCCTCCTCGTTGGGCTGGCTCGGGTCGTTCATCTGCGTGGGCCGGGGGAGGGGAAAACTCAGTCCCGCGGTCATCCGGTCCCCTCCGCCCTGCCCACGTCCAGCTCCGCCGTCCTCACCTCCTTCACCGCCTGCTGCACCACCTCCAGCTCCCCGGTCAGGGCGGCGTCCAGCAGCAACACAAGCGGGTTGAGGCGCGCGCGGCGGGCCTTGCGCGGCGAGCCCGCCTTCCGCAGCACCGAGCGCATCTCCTGGGGGACACGGCGAGGGTTTCAGCCACTTGGAGGGCTTGTTAGCATACCCACTACCCAGAGGGGGAAACAGAAGCTTAGGGACAGCCGCCCCGGGTCACCCATCTAAACAGGGGTAGGGCTGGGATTCACACCCAGGGAGGTCCAGAGACCCACCTAGTCGAAGGGATAGGGATGCCTCAGTTCTCTAGAGCACCCCGGTTTCCTACAACAAACAGTCAGGGAACCCTGTCATTTTGCAATCTCGGGCCCTGAAACCTGAGAGAAAGCCGGGAGGCCATTGAGTTGGTGGCAAAGTAATTCTATACCTTCAAGGCAACGATTCTGGAAGCGAGTTGTTCAGTTCATACACAATCTCATTTCTTTTATAAAAAAAAAAATGCTACGAAGCACATATGACAAAATGTCCCCAGGTGTTAATTCAGATGTTTGGAATTTGCGTATTTATCATTTATTCCTTGTGCTTGCTTATTTTTAATTTTCCTCCTCCGAGATTCATTTATTCTGAGTGTGTGATTACGCAGCGTTTGTTATTCCGGTCTTTGCTGTCTCCGGAGTTTCAGTGATTTCAAGATTCTGAAATTCAGAGATCCCGAGAGCCACTGAATCCAGAACTCTCTCATGCTCAGTTATTTCAAATTTCCGACACGTTGTGATTGCAGAAACGCTAAGTTGCACTATTTCAAATTGCTGAGGGCCCAGGAGACTCTATGATTGAGAACTTCAATGTTTTATCATTAAAATTTCAGTCCAAAAGGCTGGCAGGACATACTCAAAATGTTAATCATGGTTCTCTAGGAGTGCTGTGATCTTGTCCGGGTCGTTCTATTTTTATTTATTTTCCCCAAATTTTCTATGGTGTTTGTGTATTCCTTTTATGTCGATTTAAAATATCATTCTGTATTAACAACATATTAGTGCACTAATTTGTGATTTTATAATTGAAATTATAAGTGTCTTTAATTTTCAGCTTTGGTGACTTCAAGAATCAGTAATAATGGAGAGTCCGTGATACTAACTTTATCATTCTAAGATCCTGTTCTTTAAACCTTTTGTGCTCTAGAATTTTAAAATTTTACTATTCTGAGATTGTGATGCCAGGGTTTAATTCTTGAATTCTGTGATTTTTTTTTTTTCCAAGTTTCTCTGTGGCCAGGACTTTGTTAATTCTACAACGAGTCAACTCTACCATTTCAAGATGTTGTCATTCTTCCCTTCTTGATTTCAAGACCCTGAGCCTCAACATTCCCTGGCTCTACCCTCAGAAGGACCTAGAAATACGTATTTGGGGTGTCCACTTGGCCCCCACTTCTGTGGAAATTGTTCTCCTCCCTCTGTCTACCCACACTGAGTGCTCATGACAGTTCCACATGACTACAACCCTGCCCCCAGCCAAGATGCAGGGACCAAGATCAGCAGGTGACCATTCTCTGGTCCAATAATAACAACAATAAAATAGTTAACAGCTATGTGCCAGGAACGATTCTAAGCACTATATTAATACATTTCATCTTCACAGCAACCCTGTGAGGTGGGTACTGTTATTCTCACCCCTGTTTTACAGAGGAGGAAGCTCAGGCCCAGAGAGGCTAAGCGTCTTGCCCAAGGTTGTACAGCAGATAAATGGCATTGAGCCGGGATGTGAACGAACCTGAGTAAGTCTAACTCTGCAGCGGGTACACTTAACCATGACACTCACAGCCCCAGGGGCCAGAGACTTGCTTTTTGTAAGAGGGGGGAACAAATTTCCAGAAAAAGCAGAAACAAGAGACTGTATGGGCTCCAGGTTGTTGGGTGAGAGGGAGGGTGACTGCTTTGATTCAGGCAAACTTTCCTGGTCCCAGAAAAGAAACAGTGTTTTGCCAAGACTTAGTCATTTCCAGATGTAACACTCTGACATTGCTGAAGGAGCGAGGGGCGGGGCGCGGGCGCAGGTTATTGCAGAGAAAGAGCAGAGAAAGTCTCCACGCAGCCACGACTCCTGGACGCCCCGCCATACACGCTGGCACGCAGCTCTGCCTGGGTTAAAGACTACATTTCCCAGCCTCTCTTGCGGCTGGGCTCTTGGCTAGTGGGATGGGGCAAAGCGACGTGTGCAATTCCCAGGGTCTGCCCCCAAAGGGAAGGGGCACTTTTTTGTCTTCCTCCTCCACTCCTGGCTGGAAGGCAGACTTGGTGAGAGCCACCCTGGACCATGAGGGCAGGCCAAGCCCCAATGGATGGCAGAGCCCCAGGTAGTTGGAGAGCTGTCCTGACTCCACCGAGCTGCCTACCAGCCCTGGACTACTACTGGAAAGAGAAGAACTTCTATCTCATTTAAGCCACTGTATTTGGGGGCTCTTTGCTGTATGCTAGCAAACGAACCCCACTTTCCTCCTAGATTACTTACCATGCTCTGCAGCTGCTCTGGTGGGCTGCTCTGGGGCGGAGCCGGGGTTGGGATGGGAGCTGGGGGGGCAGGAGCAGGGGGCCCTGCCCTGGCCTCAGACCCCTCAGTGATGGGGCACAGCTCTGGTTCAGGGCCCCCGGGCCCTGGCCCGCCGTGACGATGGAAGAGGCGGCTGATGATCTGCTGGTACTGTTTCTTGTGGGTGGGGGGCAGGGCCACGGCGGGGCTCTGCTCCATGGAGCCCCTGCGTTTGAGGGGCCGAGGAATCTCTGCCAGGACCCGTGCCACCTCCTCCAGCTCGGGCACCGACTGCGCCTCAGGTGGCAGTGCTGGCTGCAGCCTTGTGGGGCTGAGGGGCCGAGTGACAGTGCCTTCATCTGTGTCGCCGGCCTCCAGCACTGGTGCCAGCAGCCCCTCTATCTCTGGTTCAGGCTCCAGCTCGGCAGGGGGTTTGGGGGTGCCTAACAGGAACAAGAGACCCCTCATAAGGTGAGTTCCCAAGAGACCCCCAAAACCCTCCCTCCCCATAACTTCCGGGACCTACAAGTAGCGCCTGATTTGCTGTGCGACCTCAGGGGAGTTTCTTGCCCTCTCTGGACTACGCTGTCCTTGGGCTGGAAAGAACATGCAATTATGACACCTCCCATGTGTGCAGTTAACCTGTGCCTGGTGCTTTATGTGCCTGTCGCACTGACTTCTCACCGCCACCTTGTGAGGCAGACGGGCTACCATCTCCGTGTTATGGAGGAGGAATCTGAGTCTCAGAGAGGACACCTCAGTTGCCCAAAGCCACATCGCTGGGATCTGAACTCAGTTCTGACACTAGAATCTGCACTCCTCCAAACCACGATACGCACAACTTTCTAAGATCCTAAGAATTTCCTTCCCTAACATCTCGCACAGAAAACTCGGGCCAGGAGTAGAATCCTGG